TTTTATCTTTAATTATCAAAAGTGAACATGGAAAAAGGTTTTTGCACAGTATAACTGCTGGAATGGCAATGGTGGTTTTGTTCATGTTTAAGGCAAAAGAGGTTCAGTCACTTTATAATGCTGAAAAAAAGAAAATATGAAAAAAAATAATACAGACAAACAATGTATTTGAATGCATTTGAATGCAATTTGAACCTTGACTTGAGCAAATTCAGCTTGCAATGAAAAAGAAAAAAATCAAACCTGAAACAGGAGGCTCTGTCTGCTAAGTCAACAGGCTTCCCTATTCCTGTACCAATGGAATTGGTCAATTGTTTATTTTTTGATAACACTTTGTATGTTAATATATCAAATTCTAAAAAAGTAAACAACAATTTCATAATTATTTCCACTTTTTATTTTCCCCTTTCTGTACACACTTATGTATTGCATGTCGCAGAATTTCTGAACAACTATTTCCCCAGAAGAAAGGGGACCTTATTTTCTTGCCTTTTTTTTGGATGCTTTGCCCTCCATTTGATGCTGTATGCACCCAGACTACTATGTGATAACAGCTCTGCAACCTTGCCTACTATACCCTGCAGCTGACTCTGGAGCATGAAGGTAACTGTGAAAATAGCTGAGTAAAACTACGAGTATACTTTGGAGGGTGTCAGGATGCTGTGAAGGGGGTGAGCAGAAAGAAAGGAGAAGAAACATTACACAGGTATCAGAGACACAGAAGTCAAGTGGCCCCAGAGAAACATTCTGTTCTACACTATAGGAATGTGTGAAGCTGCAGACACATTGTACTGTTCCAAAGATTTCTGTATCATGTACAGCTGATGTTCCAGGTTTCTAGCATAGTTAAAAGCTGTTCCTGCTTACTTCACTAGTTCTGGCCCACGTATAGTTTGTAAGTGGCACCATCTATAATGCCCTGCTATCAAAAACCTAATGTGCTCAACAAACAGGTAAAACTATTATTGGAAACAGTTATCTAGGTTGATCCCAACTCTCACTGCTGTTACTGTTGATTCGGAGCAAAGCAGTAATAGCAATGATGGCCAATTGTCTTTGAAACAGAAACCTGACAGCTTGATGATTTTGTCAAATTTACTTTTCCATTCCCATACAATAAACTGCAAAAGTGAGATCTACAACCAGATTCCTATGGTTTCCACATTTAGTTTACACCGGGTTGGGGTTTTTCCGTTTTTATAGAAATGATTCTTCATAAAGCAACTGCAAACTGCTGCTAGCTCCATGTAATAATGTGTGCAGTAGCAAACCATCAAATACTTATAGCGAAGGAGGTAATGAGAACAAGCTGAGTAATTGGCCTGGCCGGAATAGAAAGGATCTAGCAAAATTTTGAAATGCCATTTCAATTTGCTGTACCTCTGTATCATGCTCACCAGCATTCCTTCAGCAATTGGATTTTATCCAGTGTAATTGCTGGGTGGCATCCAGACTTACTAGTGAGGTAAGCATTTGTGACAGTGTTAGAGAATGTGGTAAAGGTAATGATCATCTATAAATGGGAATTTGGATATCAGTCATAGTGATCTAAAGATGTGGGCATAAATAAGATTCAGAACTAAAGGACTTTTTTTTTTAATTGAGGAAAACATCCTTGGTTGTTTTTGTTTTTGTTTTTTTTTTTTTGCTTTGCTGGAGCAGAGTTTGCCTATTATTTGACTCCATGGCTGCCATGTAAAAGATAAATTAGCGGAATTTTTGACATACAAATTAAAACCTACTTATTTCATCATAAAACTAATGGTTGTATAGAGAATCATGTGTGGGCTTGGTAAAGGCTGTTATTCTATTTAGCAGAAATTAACTGATTATTGAACCAATGAGTAAAATGTGTTTATTCTCTGTTATCACTTGTTAATCTTCCATTAGTATCTTAATAAATGGCATTTTAATAATTTTATCTGTGGAATGCTAAATTCCCAAATTTGTTGCTGAAAAAGAACCCCAAAGAAGTACAGAAAAGAAAGGTCATGACAAGAGAAAAGATTAAAAGAACAGAAAGCAAAAAGAAAGCAGAAAGGCAGTGATAACAGTCAAGGGACATAAGTAATAAGCAAATCTAATTTCAGAAATAACAGTCATATTGCTGAAATATTCCAGTTAGGAATGCATGAGGCTGATATCCAAGTAGCTTAAAAGAATAATCTGAAATTTTGAAGCTGTTGTGATATTGAACAACAGCAATAAGATGAATTTCTCAGCTGTTCAATATAAACTGCATTCCCCTGTCTGCTCACATGACTATTGGAAGGTGCTATGTGTCTGTAATTCAAACCAGCTTTTTAATGCTGAATTTCCACTGATAGAAAGATCAGACAGCAGGGGTGACTCATAAAACTTCACCTTTTGAAGAGCTTCAAGTCTAGGGGCTTGACGGTGAGTAAAGCCCAAACAGCTACTGAGTGCTAGTCCCACCCTTTGCTGTTGCTTATCTGAGTGGTCCTGGGCAAGTCACTTAGACCAAGAGGCTCAAGAGCATCTATGGAGTTGCTTCACTCCTGAGTCTGGGTTTCTTGTGCATACTGGAACACAGGGCTTAACAGGAATCCTCTGCTTCACAGGCCTATAGTAAGAACTAATTATAGTTAGAACTAAGCTAATAATGGCAGAGTACTTAAAAACATCAAGTACTCAAAGCTGATACCTTGTATGAGCTGATTAGTGGTTTACTTTTTTATTTTCAAGTTTACTGTCAGCTCACAGATTTGCATAGCTTTAGGCAAAATGGAAAACATCTGTCTCTCACGCATCTGCAGTCACCCATAAAATGACAGTCAAAAGACATTTAGCTGCCTCCACTACCTTTGTCATGGCCAGCCATATGTATTTTATCTTGTGTGCTACATCCAGCCTTATGCTGGGCTGCTTCAGAGTAATTTTTGCCCCATCCTTTCTGTGGATATATAAAGGACAGGAAAAGGTTCCCGCACTGTGTTTTATAATTCATGTTCCCTGCCAAGAAAGTAGCAGTAGGATTTTCTTAAAAGAAGAGAAGATCTGAAACCCCAACTGTCATTATGTATCATGAATAAGGTTAGAAAAAACTGAAAACAGAAACAAGGAGGCAGAATGCTGGAGGGAATGAAGCTTTCAAAGGTACAGGCTCAGAAAGAAATTAAATTCACAGACACCACCAGAAAGGGGACAAGAGTGGGACTAAAAGTCATTAAGCTTCTTGGTAGTTATCAGAGGAGGGAAAAAAAAGGCATAGAGGAGAGAAGAAATATTAAAGCAAGCCAATAACAGTGTTTTAAAGAAATTAATTGGAAAACTCAAAGCAGCTTTGATGCTATTGCAAAGAAGAAGAGCGACGCCTGAGACACAACATTCAGATTTGATCTAAAATCCCTCTTTTCATGCTTGATTCCCAAATGACAGTTCAGGAAGTGAATTCCTTGTGTTCACCATTTCTACATACATTTTTAAATCTAGACTATTGTTTGTAAACATCTTTGAGGACATCGCACCTATGAAAGTTGGCTTGCTTCTTTACAGGCAAAATTACATATGAGAGGGGAATTTCAAAGTTAAGTTGATAAATGTCACATACTAATAATTTATGTTTCATAGTAAAAACTGAAATAGTAATAGTGATGCTGAGAATTGCTAGCAAATATCCCAGAACAAATATTGTAAATACTGAAAAATCCATATACAGTATAACTTAAACCAGACAACTTAACCCCCCCAATCCAAATAAACAAAACCACCAAAAACCAACAATCACAGTTGATATACCAGTTGATCACAATGATAACCCCCATTAGTATTTCAGCCAAAATTTTTCAAACCTGCTAAAACCTGAACTTGTAAAAGCAGATGGATTTAGGCAGCACTAACTTCAGTGTCCCATTTCTTTATAACACATGTGGGAAGAACTAAGCACTTTAAAAGAAGGTGTATGTAAACTAGCTCAAAATCTCCAATAGAAAATGCTGAGAAGCTATGTCCTTATGTGTGTTGGACATAAATTGAATCCAGAGTTTATGACTACTGCACTGAATTATATCTTTTCTTACAGAGAAAGAACATTTTCTTAATATCAAATTTCAAATCCCTGCTTTGTAGCAGAAACATAAACCATTATCTTCCAGAGAACTGAGAATCATCTCAGATTATTCCAGATGAAGTCTAGAATGGTGGGATATTTTTTATCTAGAGTATATACTTTATTGAGGCAAAGGGCAGAAGAATGTTATCAATAAATTTTGCAGAGAAGAAAGGATAAAATTTTTACTGAAAAAAACCCATTGTGCCATTCCTCTGTTGTATATGGGCCAATGTATGTGTATATGGACCCAGCAGAATGTGTAGAAACATTGTGGGTAGAAGAACATGATGAGAATTCAGGTAGTTGGAAGAAAAGTCTCCGACATGTTCTTAAACAGACAAATCAGAATGGTTCAAAGAAATCCCGTGAACTGAAAAGAAACAAATACTGGATGAGCATTAGGTCTTCTTTCCCTAACCTTAGTCCCCATTAAGTGTTTGCTTATGGTTGTTTTGGTGGACAGAATACTGAACTGGATGAATCATCCAGTTAAACCAATAAAGCTACTATGGTTTTAAAAGAGGTTTGAAAAAGAACGGTATGAACATATTTCACATATTTACAGGAATCAAACTCCAGGATGGCACCATTGCAGACAAAATTCAGTGCTAAATAAGAGAATTTGTCCTGCCTAGAATCTGCTGAGGATCTTCTGATGACCCATTTTCCATTGTGGAACTCTTAAATAGTTTTTTTTCTAGAAGAAATTAAGTAGAAATAGGACTAATATATTTGGGTTACCTGCTTCCAAACTTGAGCAGTTCATAAGTACAAGCTTCATTTCAAAAACGTTGAAGTAATTTTCTGATGAAGTACCCATACTACAGCAGGTGGAATACTTTTTTTAGGACTGGATAACTGGATCAAAGGTTTTTTCCTGCTTTTCTTTTATTTCCAGGTTCTGATTGGATGGATGGATGGATGGATGGATGGATGGATGGATGTCCCTCAGATCTCTTATTTACTCCCAGGACCACTTCAGCTCTTGCTTAAACATGAATTGAGTTTTTCTGAAGATCAAAGTGTAGGGACTTATTCAATATGCCTGTAGCAAACGACACATAGATTTCATTCTTATTTAAAATATTCAGGCTTCTGCACCATTACTTATCTTGTAATGTGAAATGTATGTATAATTAGGGAGAAGAGTGTATATTTAGGTTCTTAAAGAATGTGGGTTTTTTTGAAAAAGATTTTAGGGCAGAATTCTGAACATTTCCTGCTACTGTTTATGAAATTTCAATTAGAATATTCACCCTGCTTGTAATGCTAAGCACTTTGGGTGATAATTTACATTGGTTCTTCTATATCCATTTATTTAGATTTTCCTCCTGAAGAAATCTGCAAGATGGGAAGTAACGCTTCATGAAGGCAGAAAAGAGTGGATTAACAAGTGAAATTTCATCTGCTGCAAAATGCCTCTACAATCTACCTTTGCCTTTCAGTGGCATAAAATATAATCCTTTATCCTTATTTCTTCATGAACTTTAGTTCTTTCTTTCTCTGTTCCAGTCAAGTTTTATTTGCAAAATTTGAGAAACTACAGCATTCCAGAAGATATTAAAGCAGGCTTGAATTTTTAATTATTGAACTCATTTTAACTTGTGTTGTATTATCTGTGTGTGGGGAAAAAAATAGTGGTGCTCCAAATTGCCATAACAACAGGCTGCATGCACTCTTTAAAACAAGATAAGCTGTGTGTCAAAGAAAAACTGTTGCCATGGTAACCAGTTGCATATTTAAACTGCAGCAGCCTGGTTTAATCAGTCAAATTTCCCCTTTTCAAGAAATCAACTGTAAAGACATTCTTACAGCAGAAATAGTGAAAAGAGGAAATGTAAATTTTAATAATAAAAAAAAATATAAGATCTCCCCTTTATGCTCTTCTGAGTAGTAGCTTTTGATTCAGAAAGGTCACTTATTCTGCTGCTTTCTTGCAAGAGTGCAGTTACTGGATCCAGTCTTTTATCTTAGGTTTCTCAGAAATTCCTCTCAGCTGTTCCTTAAGAGCTTCTCCTAAGCAGGTTAATAAGATATTAGTATCTAGGCATATAGTTGCGAGTTCATAACTACTGACCTGTGAGTTCACCTACTGATAATAATACATGATTATAACCTGTTTGGGAAGACTTTAAAAATGGCCAATGAAATTAAATCAATCCCTTAAATCAGTACCTGCTATTTCTACGAGCCTTAGAGCTAAAAGCTGTTTTATAAATTCTTTTTATTTTTTTTTTCTAATTTAAATACAATGTTTATGCACTGACTATTAGATTATTTCTCTTTGGGACTTTTTTAACAGGTATTTTATTTCAAACATTAAACTTGTTTTATGTCAAAAAACCACAACCATGTTGCAGCATAGATGCCTATTGCACCATAATTAGTTGCATCGTGCTATGTCTGATTCCTGTCCTTTTGGCCCTGAAAGTCAATGAACAATCAAGAAAGTGATACTTCAGCCTCAGAAGAATGCAGAAAAGCCAAAAAACAGCTATTTAAAGGCTACATGTACGACCCACAGTCACTGTATAGTTCTTGTGAGATTCTAGTTGATATGACAGAAGGTGAATAGGGTACATAACCTGTATGCTGCTATTGCACAAACCCTAGCTCACCTCCTAATGTCTCTAGGAAATGTTATTAACCTACCTTTCCTAACAAGGATTTTGAGTCAGAGAGCCTGACTCAGGCTCAGTGGTACAGTTACTTGTCCTATTTATTTTTTAGCTTACAGAACATAGTGGTTGCATAGGGAAAGAGACAGATTCTGCAGATTTGGAATGGTTTCCTTCTCATGAACTGCCAGTCAGTGCTGCAATAGGAATTGTAGCAAAACTTAGAATGAAAATAGCCTCCTTAAAAAACAATATTAATACTTTTATTAGACTAGACTATCACAGATGTCTTATTGCTTTTTCATGAAAAGCTAAAAAAAAAAAATCCCCATGAAATTTAAAGCAATACATTCTTTTTGCATTCCCCACAGAGAAAATATATACTGTTTCTATTATATTACTGTTCTTTCTACCAGTTCTATTAAGCCTTACTGAAAAAGAAAAAGCAGGATTTTAGAGAGTCTTTGCCATTTCCTGACGCAGTATCTCTTTGTAAGATAGTACATATGCTGGCAGAAAAAGAGGAAATATTCCTCAAAAAAATGCTGAAAAGTTATTAATTTCTAACACAGAACAAAGGCAGAAAAAAAACCCTAATAAGATTACATAAAAGGTTTGATTTTACTTTATGCTTGCATATCTTAGTGCTACTGTGCTATGATTATTTGAGGGTGACATAAAAGTTAAGACTTTCAGAAATTAAATATAGCTATCTGCTCTATTTTCTAAGTTGCTGTCAAAACACTTTTTTTTTCCTTGTCATGGTACTAAGCCTCCCTTTCAAAAGGTTTTATACTGCTACTGAGACATTGTTTTGCAATTGATATGTGAGAGAAACTGCTATTGCTGGCTGGCCAAAAAGAAATCAGAAATATCAGAATTAATCACCAGCTTAGGATCAGTCCTAAGGTCATTGATTCAGGCTTTGAAGGTGTTGGCATAACATGGTCTGAAATCCTTTTCCCCCAGCTGCAAAGAGCATTCATCTGTTCACTCCATTGAGAGACTGTCAGCTTTAGAGTTTGAATCAATCACATCAACATCTGCCACGCCACAGCAGATGTGGATTGGCCATCTTGTTGAAGGAGAAATTGGACAAAATGTCAGACTTTTTTTTTGGTAATATAGCAATATGACATTATATCTACATCAGTTTGTAAACCAAAGTAGTCACCATGGCATGAAAATAGCTGCTCTTAAGAACAGTGGTCTCAGGTACTATTTCTCTACTGCAGGAAGCAGATGGTTTCCAAAGGATTACTTGGAGAATATTTTTATATTGCAACCAAGGTACAAGTACAGCTTATGAAGATGACAAGTGAATCTGCAGCAACAGGGAGCTCAATGAGGTCTGTGGGAGGGATCCTTGATCAAGATGCACACAGGTATTTTATCTGAAACTCTCTGCCACAGATAATATGTCTGAAGCTGAATGTGGCTCCATGCTGTACTTGCATCACACCTGAAGGAGAAATCTAACAGTAGTTTGGGGGTGTTGGAATGAGTGGGGGCATCCTTTAACTGTGGTGTAAATTCCATCTCAAGACGGAAAACAAGCTTGCCTGCCGATTGCCTTAGCATTTCCAGAGAAGGACAAAGACCAACACCAGCTTTTCTTCAGACTGAATGCTGCTCAAGTGGAACCACTTTGAAACTATGAATAAAATACTAAGCTCATCCACGTACTGCCTAAAAGCATGGATATAGAAAGCTATCTGGGAATAACATACAATTACTGCAGGCGGCAAGAAGCCAAGCACATTGCCTAAGCTACCAAGGCTTACTCCATGGTGAGCAGCTAAGAGGTGTCTACAGATTCACAGGAACATACATGTCCTCAGGAAAGGTGTCCACTAGATGGTTCCACTGATACTCTGAGTGCATAGTTAGTTGGTTAGATGGTGTCAGTTAAGGAAGGCATCGTTTTGCATTTACCTATTGTAATAATACTGCTGTACTGATGTGATTAGAAATACATATTCAGGCTTAAACTTTTATATTTTCCCAGATTTATATTTCAACAAAATAAGCTCTTACACAAGAGGACCTTTGGTACCTCTGCTCTGTCCAAGTCTCAATTAGCAGCTGAGCTTTGAAAAATAATAAGCAAAGAAGTCCAGCCTTGGGAACAGTTTCATTTGTGCCAAGGACAGAAGTGGCTGTAAGGAGCACTCTGTTGCCTATCTCTTGGGTTTCTTTTACTGACACCAGTCTGGTCTGTTTTTCCTAAGGTGAGTGCTGCATTAATGACTGGCTTACAACTAAGCCTGCTTGTTTCAGCTGGGGCTTCTTCTCTGCTGGTTTAGCAAACAGTTAAACTTGGGCAAGTAGGACTTCTGTTATTGTCCTAGTCTTGCATTCCTCCAGCTGCAACTTCTAGGCCAAAGTCTAGACTGGGGCTGGCTTTGTGGCATGCTACGAGGATAATCGGGGGGCTGGAACACCTCCCATATGAAGACAGGCTGAGAAAGTTGAGGCTGTTCAGCCTGGAGAAGAGAAGGATGCTTGGAGATCTCATAGCAGCCTTCCAGTATCTTAAAGGGGCCTACAAGGATGCTGGGGAGGGATTCTTCATCAGGGACTGTAATGATAAGACAGAGGATAATGGGTTAAAACTTAAACAGGGGAAGTTCAGGTTCGATATAAGGAGGAAGTTCTTTACTGTGAGGATGGTGAAGCACTGGAACAGGCTGCCCAAAGAAGCAGTAAATGCTCCATCCCTGGCAGTGTTCGAGGCCATGTTGGAGAGAGCCTTGGGCAACAGGGTCTAGTGTGAAGCATCCCTGCCCATGGCACTAGATGTTCTTAAGGTCCATTCCAACCCTAACTTTCTGTGATTTTATGATAAGGTACTTTCTGCTGTAGCAGTGCATAGTTGCATGGTATAGTAGCATTTTGTTGGTTTTGCTTTATTTATTATTATTTTTTTAAATCTTTTTAACGTCTCTGGTATTTAAATCTCTCCCTATAATACAAAGTCATTTGTTTGGGATGAGTACAAGATTTCAATCTTTGATTTGCTGCAGCATTTGCTGTTTCTAAATGTAGCTATTACATGTAACCTCTTCACAGCACACATACTTTTATCTTCTTACACAAACTAGTAGCAGTTAGGAATAAAAAAGGAAGTGTCAGTCTCAACATAAATGATTGGTATGACTGGTACAGATTGTTGCTGCATGGCATTCTTCTCATTACAAGCCTAAAGACATACAGGGAGGAACTTGGGTGTTTGTGGTGCTGGACTTAGCACAAATCAGCAGAGAAAATAAAATGGTAATCTGTGGAGACAGTGTTCTCACGGAAGAACACATAATTGGTACATAAACTGAATAATCCTGAAAGATACAGCAAGGCCGTGAGAGGCCTGAGGAAGCTTAAGCAAGCAAGATAAGAAGAAGCTGTAATTCACTGAGTTAATGAGAACTGTTGACTGTTGGCAAGCTTTCGAGGTTAAGTTCTCACACCTGTGCTTAACCAATTGTGTGTTAGTCGCTAAGGGTCTTCAAGACATGTATCCAACCATAATAATCCAAATCACTGTAAGTGCCTGCAAGAAATGGTATATAAGGAGTTAAAGCTTTGTAATAAATTGGCATTCGCTGATCACATTGATTGTTCCTGCGTTGCCCGTGACTCCCACGTCGTATAGCGTGGTCCCAAATTCACTACAAAAACCTGATCTCCTGAAGGCAGATAGTACCATTTGTTGCGAGTAAACCA